CAGAAGAAAGGCAGTTCCTTTCTTAGGTGCAAATTTTGTTCCGCCAAATATTCATGGTAAACAGTGTCGTTGTCATCATCATCATCATATATTCTGACATCATCAGCATCATCATCACCATTACATTTAGCTCAGTTGGCGTCATACTGTACTATGGAGCGGACGACTCTGGTTCGAATTCCAAATGGAGTGTTCTGAACTTGGCTTGTTTTGGGTAGTTTCAAAGGCTTGATACCATTTTGGATAGGTCATATCGGATATGCTGGTAATTTCGTAGGACCTGCGTCTAGATGAACAGCGTTACAATGTTAAAATGGGCCTAAAATAAAATAAACTAATTTTGTAAAATAGATATAGACGCCCAAAAGAAGACAATTTCTTTATAGGCGTGAAGCGAACATAACAGATGACAGTCGGTAATCCAACGTCAGAATCACTTGCTTACAAATCCCAAGCGCAGCACATAATTCTGAGTTTAAAATATGCAAAACAAACAAACAATTAATAAACAAACTAACACCTAACAAACAAACACAGGTGAGTTGTTCATGCATTTACTCGCAGAACATTTTCTTATACGTGGTACTGGTTACAAATTCATTGTGACTGTTAAGATTATAAATATTTTATACCGCTATCAACACAACTTTGTTAGTCCCCAAACACGGCCAAAGAAATCCGAACAAACAAACGCTAGAGGGGCAGGAAAACTATCTTTAAAAAAAAACAACCATAAAAACCAAAACAACAGCATCAGTAACAACAGCATCAGTAACAACAGCATCATAAACTGCAACAACTGCGATAACAGCAACAACAAAAAGAAAAAGAAAACGGAATAAAAACTATGGAAAAACAACCCAAAACAAAACAAAAACAAAACAAATAAAAAATAAAAGCCTGTTCTTCGCAACACACATGTGTAATAAAATCACAGAAGAACAAGGCATGTGTCTGATTAAGAAATTGGAAATAGCAACAAGGTTATAAAAAAAAGGAGCTAAATACGACATGATCATTTCTCTGGTGTAATAAGTAACAATAACGTGCGAAAAAAAGTGCGGTCACTTTTCATTGAAACGAAACGAAAAGAAAAAAAGCAAAGAATGTCAGATCTTTCGATGTACGATTCTTTGACGCCACACTCGTCTGTTCTAACACTGTCAGATACACTACGGAGTCCACTCGTCGTGGGCTTCATGTCGCGAGCCAAGTGCTGGCTTGTATACTAACTCCTATGTCCCACATTTGGGGAACTTTAGGCACAGACGTCCATTCCATACTCGAGTTTGAGCCAAAAAATATTACACGGATAATGCCTGTGTTCCGAAAAAAAATTGTACGGCACTTGCAACACAGTAAGCTCATAATATAAGTGTCGAAGATTAGAGGTGCTACACGAGAGTAACAAACACAAAAAAGAGGGAGGAGAGATCAGGACGACAGATGCCAGATAGGAAAGAAGGAGCAAACGACACCAGGGCATCCGCCAACCACCTACCTTCCAAAGAACTTCAGTTTCATTTTATGGTAACTACCTATATTATTTTAGACTGGAAAATCAGTGTTTTAGTAAGAGTTTTACGGAACTTGCAACACAATAAGGTCATATAAGTGCCGAAGATCAGATGTATTACAAGAGAGATAAGGACGACAGAAACGTTTCAAGTGATTTACACCAAAACCGAAATAAACGGAGTCAATACAAGACAGCCCAAAGCTCACTACGTGCTGCCAATAGTTGATGTACATGACGTACTGTGTTACTGACTTGAAAGTTGTAGGTCTCTCGGGGCCTATGGGACTTGTCAACAACAAAGACAACGCCGATGACGACGACAACAACGACAACTGCAATAACAACAACCGCAACAGCTGCAGCAGCCACAACGACGACAATAGCAA